ACGGACGGGCGAACGAACACACGGACATCGCACATGGGCACAAAACCCGGCTTGCGGCGAGGCGCATTAAGTCAAGGCCGGCGGAAGAGTAAGCGCCACACTCTGACGATGAGAGCGAGCATGTTTTCGAAATGTCAGCACAAATACAATTTGGTCCCAGCACTTACCCCCTCTTCTTCTTCCTCTTCCGGGGATGATGAGCACGACAGTAGATTGCGTATTCCATAAAATATGAAGCGAAATTATGAAATGTGCTTTCAATTCCAAAATATTACTTAATTAGGCTTGACATATTAATTACCATACAGCCTACTCTGCGGATATCTTAGTCACGTCAGGCCGTCGGCTTTTGAACGAGCTTCTTTCTCGTCGCTCCTGTCAAAAATGACTGCAAAATTATATGCGGTTGACACAACAATTTTGGATGCCTTTATGAAATGGAGAATATTTTGTAGAAAACATGCATGACACATATGCTTTCTTGTACTAAGCCGGTAGCAAATTACGTCCGCTGCAAACTGTATACTTCAAAGGATACCGCATTTCAGATTTGAAAAGCGTTTATAATTGGGAAATGCTTTAAGATCGTGAAATGGTCATTTATGAAGTACATGACAGCAAACACAAAACTGTATGATTCCCTTACATTCACTGTACACAGCATATGATTTGAAAACATAAATGCTAGGGTTACGACAGGTCAGAGTTAAAAGCACTCAGGAATTGTAAATGTTTTATAATAAAAAATGCACTTCCTTCAAGTTAAAAAATAAAAAAAGGCGTAATCTTCTACTAAATGAATACATAAATGATTTTTTTAATGTATGTTTTCCATAAAACATGCTTGAATTTGTCGAGGCATGGAAAAGCAATGAGGAAATACCTAAGTGGTCGTTTTTTATAGCGTTTTTTCGGGCTTCCATAAGGCATTCTCACGAGGCCGCCTTCAAGAAAATTTCGCCGCCCTTACGGATTTCGGGGTAAAAAGGAATTAAAGTGGTGGGGTAAACCAGGGGCCGTTTGGGTTCGGGAAAAAAAAGAACAGATAGAAATTTAAGTGGTTTGAAGTATTTTACTTAACTGAAACTTTTAGTGAAAGGGAAGCCTGCAGACTAAGAAAATTAATAGGTTAATAGAGGAATTCTATAGACCAAGAAAACTATTCCGGCAACTTTATTTAGCAGTAGGCGGCCTACTGACTAATAAGGGAAGCCTCTAGACCAAGAAATATTTCGTATAAACTGGAAGTCAGGCATCCTAAGAAATGTAATTCCAAGGAAAGGCGTCATTAGAGAAAATAAGGAAAATGTATTCAGTAAACTTTCGACACTGGATCCCCAGGTCGTCGTCAGACTCGATAAAATGTGCAAATAACGATAAGCATTTCAAAGTGCTCGTACAGTTATATAGTCGTTTAGCGTGGGCACTAATTGGTAGCTGCAATTTGCGTCACGCCGTGGTTGACATAATTAGCAATCGCAATGGCGTAGTGGATAATTGGCCACTGTAATTTCCGTCGGTCCGGGTCATCCGGTGTGGGCGCTAATTGCGGTTCATGTTGGTCCACAGTTATCGGCTGTAGTCTTTTGCACCTTTCTTTGATGTCTGTGCACTACAGTCAACTCGATACGCCCGTTGATGCATGAACCATCGGAGTGCATGGCCTCAATAATAAATTTTCCTTATTTTTCCAAAGGACGCCTTTCCTTGAAACCAAGAAATATATTAAAGCGACTCCCTATACCATCAGGCGGCTTCACAAGAAAGCCCCGCCAGAAGCTCGTCTAAAAGCTGGCATCCTAGCGGGAATTAAATACCTTGGGAGTGGGTGGAAGCGAGCTTTAGTGATGGTCTTCGAGGAGCGGAAAATACATTTCAAACTTTCGATTGGCATTTCATGAGATATAGCAATCTACTGTAGGTTGAGCAATTACTTGTCGCCCGCGGCTAATGTCGTCCCCAGGGCACTACTTGAAACTATGGTGGTAGATAGAATAGACCTGCAAACCTCGCTACCAGTCAACGCAGTTGCGATCATAGCACACCATGCCTCTTTCAGGGATAGGCGCAGGGATGACGTTCGTGTGAATTCGTTTATGAGTATGCCGGATTGTATTGCATGCTCACTCTCACTCTACGCGTGCCCCAAACGTACTGGTTTCCAAATCCATACGCAGCAGACGTTGTTGCAGAGTTTTGTGACCCGCATGAGCGAATTCCCTACAACTCAGGAGGAACTACGGCCGCCCAATCCTCAGTCAGGCTACGTTAAATGCGCATGTGGTTATACTTTGCTTTGAGAAAATTATGTACTGGGTTCAAAGTTAGATTGTCCCTCTTTCTATTTCAGCGCAAGTCTGGATCAGACTGGTCTGAAGTAGCTTAAATCTACGCCTACGCATGTGACAGGTGCCGCAAAGATAACAAATTACGGTTAGGCAGGACAAAATGTCATTGGCTTAGAAATTTTAAAAAAAGTGCGCTCTCTCTGCGTGAGATCACTGGGCAAGCCCGTCTGGGTGGAAATTAGGAGAAATAGGTCAAGCGAAAAGCGCAACAAAAAAGCAAAATACGTCTTCTACCTAACGCAGAGAATGTTGTCCTACTGACAAGCTTCCCCTGAGTTATATCCGACACCACCACCCATTCAAACTGAGTGAGTTATTGGGGCGGCTCAAGGCAAATCGGAGATTCGCCGTCTGATGAAAACAGTAAGCAGTGGGATATTTTCCCACGCGACTCAGTGTACGAAGAATAATGTATCCAATCCAACAAGATCTGCGTCAGAAGCAAACTAATTATGGCCAGGAATTGGCTCACCCTCGGGTGGGGGCACCCGGCCTCCGCTAAAAATCTTCCTTGTTGGTCAATGCAGTGTCAGTCCTCCACGACTAAATCCTATAAAAAAAGGCTTGAGGAACCAAGCA